GCCAAATCCATAACACTTAAAAATTGAAACCCATTATCTGTTTATTCTGAGACTGCAAATTCATATGTATGTTTTTAAAAGGTCATGATTTGTCAACACAAAGCAGTGCTACATGCATTCACCACCAATATCATTGACAGATTTTGATGGAACCGCCATATCTTCACTCTTAGTGTAGGCACATGTTGTTATCTAAGTTTTGGGGAAAAACCAGTACAGAAGTAGTCAGCCCTCTAGATTCACTGTGGTTAGAAGTGCAGGACCCAAGATAGGTGGAAAATATATTAAAATATATTTTTTACATGAAAGAATTCCCTTTCTAAGAATCTCTAGGTCCTCCAACACAACTCTTTCATAGAATCATAGAGTTGGAAGAGACCTCATGGGCCATCCAGTCCAACCCCCTGCCAAGAAGCAGGAATATTGCATTCAAAGCACCCCTGACAGATGGCCATCCAGCCTCTGTTTAAAAGCTTCCAAAGGAGGAGCCTCCACCACACTCCGGGGTAGAGAGTTCCACTGCTGAACATCTCTCACAGTCAGGAAGTTCTTCCCAATGTTCAGATGGAACATCTGCCAGAAGATGACCATAACATTATGCTGGAGAAATTACAAATGCTCAAAATGTGATCTCTCTAGGAACCTCTTTATCATGTAGAGCTTAAAGAGCAAAGAGTATGCATCACATCTGGAATTCTGGGGTTTGTAGTCTAGCGAGACCTAGAATATATTAAGTCTTCAAAAATGAAAACTGAAAATGTGGAGACCCTACTGTATTCCTTTCCCCACCATATTTAGGCAGTCAATTTTTTGTCTACTGTGATGTTTTCATTACAGCATCCTTGTTGAAGCAAGCTCCAACCTGGGAATGTCAACTCCATGTTTGAAAAACAGGTCAAGATTTTGTTTTCTCTCCCCAAGTCTGGCCGAGCAGTGATCACTCCAGGCTGTGGGCACCAAGCAAGCAGATAGCCATATTGCAGCCGTACCTCCAGAAAACCAACCCCCTCCACCTACCCTGCATGCTCAGAGCAGATGGGGGACTTCAAGCTGCTAACTCTGAGCCATCACTGACTTATATGTTAGTCACACTTCCTACAGGCCATATGTTCAAAGTGCATGGAGTTTTGAACACAGTGTTTTTCTTTGGAGTAAGGTCTCTTTGCCTTCCATGCTGCATTCCTCACTGTGTACAATCTCCACGCCAGCGGTGGGTAAACAGCACCACTGATTGCTTTCCTATCTTTCACAATAGCTGTGAAAGGCACTGAACAAGCTGCACAAAATATGTAAGAATTGTATCAACCTGTTGACTTTCAGACTGTCAAGCCAATTTCTTCTGCATTACATTAATTTTCAAAGTCTGGTCAAAATATTGATGTCACTCAGATCTAGTCTACAGTGGAATATACCTAACAAGAATAGACATACACAATTTCATTTCTGAACATTTCCCAGCACACATAGATTAGAAAAAGTAGATATTTGTCTAACATTTCTGCACGCGGGGGGTGGTGGTGGTATTTTTGCTTTCCTATTTCCTCATATTGTCACCAAAGACTTACTCCAGTGATGTCTCAAAATCATTCAGCCCCAGAGTCAAATACAAAGCATGGCTTGTTTCAAAAGAGGGTGCACAACCAATCTCATTTTCCATTGGCTTACTCACCCACTTTAGCAGACAGCGTTTTCCAGCTAGGGGCTCTCATTCATTTTTTAAAAGGTGACCTTTAAAAACTGGTTTGGCTTGGTCTACATGCAAAGGGAAAATCCCCAACTACTTTGGAGTGATGCCATTAATGCTAATCAGAGGAAAGTGACTTGACAAGGAAGGCATGAGTTAAAAGATTCAACCATTTAGAACCTTACTCCAGAAAAATCTTATTGGTATGACCAGAACAGCTCAGGTTAAAGGACTTGTGAAACCTAAAGAAAGGCAGGAAATAGGAGATCTGAGTGGTGTGCTTGCAGCCAGGTCAGATTTACAGTCCAAAACATTTTGTGGGCCAAATGTTCCCTGTATCTGAACTATAACATCCTAAGCATTTCCAGGATCACTACAAAAAAATGAATGGACTGGGAGAAAAAGTAAACATATTCATTGAACTGGGTTGTTGTAGGTTTTTTCGGGCTATATGGCCATGGTCTAGAGGCGAACTCTCATGACGTTTCGCCTGCATCTATGGCAAGCATCCTCAGAGGTAGTGAGGTCTGTTGGAACTAGGAAAAAGGGTTTATATATCTGTGGAATGACCAGGGTGGGATAAAGGACTCCAGGTCTGCTGGAGCTAGGTGTGAATGTTTCAACCGACCACCTATATTAGCATATAATGGCCTGACATGAGCAAACTTTTGTTGAGAGGTGATTAGATTGTTTGTTTCCTCTCTGTCGTTGTGCTGTTGTTCATTGAACCTCTCTGTCATATATATTTATTTAGATTTCACCCAAGCTAAGCAAAACTCCAGGGTGCTGTGAGTTTTCTGGGCTGTATGGCCATGTTCCAGAAGCATTCCCTCCTGACATTTTGCCCACATCTATGGCAGGCATCCTCAGAGGTTGTGGGCAAAATGTCTGGAGAGAATGCTTCTGGAACATGGCCATAAAGCCCAGAAAACTAATAGTAACCCAGTTATTCTGGCCATGAAAGCCTTCGATAACACATTAAGCAAGACTCTTTTTAATACAAAGAATACCTACAAAAATGAAGCTATTAGAGGTCCTGCACTATTACAAGATACAAAGGGGAGGTAAACTAATATTTTAAGTTTACATACAACTGCATTATGCCATAGTCAATAATGTTTTGGTGCTATGGCCCTAGACCTAATTAAAGTTTTTCTTTCAGAAAAGGATGGAGTTAGAATAACCTAGGCTCTTTCGGCCTACCCAGTATTATGTGATCATATACAACAGCATGAAACTTTTATTGAAAGAGCATGACCTTCTCCATGATGATCAGCAACATTTCAAAGTCTGTTGAAATAAATCCCAGTTCACCTGAAATTAACTTGTAACTTTTGCTTTGTTTGTGTTGACAAATTGTACATTTGTATCAAACCTTTTATACTCCATCAATGTATTAGTTAATGAAAAATTTAGTCTGTCCTTAACGGTTATGAGCAAATATTTGCTTTTAATGATAAAACAGATCATGGGTCTCCCCCCCCCCCCAAAAGTGGGAAATCTTAGTTGCTGTGAGTTTGCTGAACTGTATGGCAATGTTCCAGAAGCATTCTCTCCTGACGTTTCACACACATCTATGGCAGGAATCCTCAAAGGTTGCGAGGTCATTTAGAAACTAGACAAGTGGGGTTTATATATCTTTGGAATGTCCAGGATGGGAGAAAGACCTCTTCTCTGCTGGAGGCAAGTGTGCATGTTGCAACTGGCCACCTTGATTAGCATTCAATGGTCTTGCAGCTTCAAGGCCTGGCTGCTTCCTGCCTGTGGGAATCCCTTGTTGAGAGGTGTTAGCTGGCCCTAATTTGCAACTTCAAAGACAGGCTTTGGTCATTCAATGCTAATCAAGGTGGCCAATTGCAACATTCAAACTTGCCTCAAGCAGACGAGAATTCTTTCTCCCACCCTGGACATTCCACACATATATAAACCCCACTTGCCTAGTTTCCAACAGACCTCACAACCTCTGAGGATGCCTGCTATAGATGAGAGTGAAACATCATGAGAGAATGCTTCTGGAACATGGCCATACAGCCCAGAAAATTCACAGCAATCCAGTGATTCTGGTCATGAAACAATGGAGTGGGAAAATTATTTTTCTTCTTCTATAAATCATTGCCGAAGTTCCAAACACATCGGCAAAACATTTTTCACAGTTAATTTACAATGCAGTACCTTGTAGATACATATTTTCATAATGTTTGACATCTATAGTTTTTTTTACATTAGATTTATGACCTAGAAAATACCTTCAGATCACCAATGACAAAAATAAACATTGATTTGGAGGCTATGCTTTTTGTGTGAAAAATAATACAACTCTCAAAACATGTAAATATTCTCATGATGGACTTCCTTTCAAAAATACTTGTATGAAAATATCATTTTACAGCCATCTCTGTTACATAGCGAAATAAATCTTTGTTCTATACAAAATTCAGGATATGAATCATTACTCAGTAAATATTTACTCTGGAGCCCAGAAACAACTGCTGGATTCAGGAAAGAGGTTCCTTCACCTTACAAGCAGTTCAAAATAGAATTTAGACAGGTAAAGCTTCCTCCCTTCGTCATAGTAATGCGGATATGGAAGAAGGAATTTCAGTCAAAATTCTCCTTTCTAAAGAATCACATCTAGAAATTATTCTGAACACCGAACTTTAAATTTGCTGGCAAATGTGAGTATTCAAACATTACCTACATTGGGGTTACAGCAGTTCTGATACCATTTTAACTATCATGGCTGCAGCAGAAAGAATCCAGGTGTTTACACTGTGGAGCCAATTGACACTACAGAATTGTAGTTCCATATCCCCCTTTAACCGGGATTTGTAGTACCAGAAGTGTATATAAAATTCTCCACCAGAGAGCATTAGATCTCAACTAAACAACCCAAGAATTTCCTAGGATACAGTCATAGCCAAACAGGAATACAATGCTATAATTGTGTGGTATGAATGAACTTAAATTGGTGCAGTATTAAGGATTTTCTGCTAGAGAGTCCTAATGCTGATATTCAAGGAGGACACTCTGGAGCAGAGAATTCTATCTGTGCAGACTGCAAACTCATTGAAAAGTAGTATTAGCTTGCTCTCTAAGCATGTAGTTCAGATGCATTCCTTGCTCCAAATTATTCTGTTGCACATCACATGTATTGACCCAATATGCATGCTTTCTCTGTGTTTACATGAGGAGTCAGCAGTGGCAACTGATGCAGCAACCAGCAGCCTTATTTTCCTGTCCCAAATACAGTGGTCTTTCCCCACTTGTCTCACTTCAGTTGTGTCTGCAGTGTTTCCTCTCTCTACTGGTGGCTCTTGATTCCTTGGCTTCATGAGAGTACTCAACCCAAGAGGATCCTAGACTACAAATCAAAGATACCTTTTCCATTAAGTAAAGAGGCAAAGGGTAGACACCTGAAGAAGAGGAGTCCATGGTAGCTACTTCTTCTGCCTGGTGATTGTCTCTCCCTCCTCCATTATTTTACAGCATCCCGTGGGGGAAAAAACCATTCAGCCAAGAGCCCCAGGGAAGCCTGAGAATGAATACTCTTGAATACACATATTCACATTCCCACCACTGTGTTCTGCCTTCTTTAATCTGCCTCCAATTAGTTGTTACCTTTGCAACTAAATACAAGATACAACATAAGTATGTGCCACCCAGAATTTTCACCTCTGAATCATATATCTTTTATTAGGACATCCTGAAACATATTATTCCACTAAGCGAAGCCATCCACTGATTTCTGGATTCCTCCATTCTGCTTGGGCACATCCTAGGAAACTACTGAAACGCTGCTCACAACAAGCCCCCATCTATTCCCAAGGGATATGCATAGGAGAAAGGCTCACCTACAGTTCTCTTCTTCACACAACACAGAGACACGGCTTGTATTCATATTACTTTAAAGAAACTATGTCGAAATATGCCACTGGCAGTAGTACTGAGTCAGTGTGCTGAGAGAACCCTAGACATGTTCAAATTTCATTTTGAAAGGCCCAATGGTGCATGCCTCTTTCATGACTATTATATCTGGAAGCACATTATGCAAAATGCATATTTGTATGGTGCTTTCAGCCCAACCCATGTTTTCCAGCACATGGTTCCTTCCATGAAAGGATCTTAAAATAGAGAAGCCCAGCAGCAATTTCTGTACTGATATCTGTCTCCTGCCTAAAAAGAATATGGCTAAAACATGGTTAAACCCAAGTTCCTGATGTAAAGCCTGATTTTCCTTGAAGTTCAACAATTAGATGATTATGAGGTTCATGGATTCTATAAGCCAGCAAAACAAAGCAGCAAGGCTTTCCTAGGATTGTATTACTTCTAAGCTAAAGGTGCAACAGGTGAAGGAGAAAAACAAAGTCACATGCCTAAGTGCCCCAAGGGTATCTACAGTACTAATGCTGTACACATAAGGACATTATTGCAGGCTTCATGTAGCATTTATTTCTGGAATACACGTTTCTAGGAACAGGAGAGATTTTTTTTTCTTTGTGGAGAAGGAATCATGTGACAACCCCACATCTATTCTTAAGGGGAACGGTCCTGCACAAGACTTAACATTTAATTCATCTCCACATACAGATTGTAGTATATATCTGGAAGTAGTAGATTAAGGACCCATCTGGAAGTAGTCACTTGCTTTGAGTAGGACCACTAACCTCAATCTGAATGCTTTGAGAAAGGTTTAAGAGTTACTATCAGACTCTGGAAATTATTTGACTTAAGTGGCTAATTAATCTGTGTAATCCTAACTGAACTGAGACCACCTACCCAAAGAATTGATGAAAAGGAGCAAGAGGAGACATCTCACCACCAACCATTTCTCATATGCTACACATTCCATTTAAGAATCATAACAAGCATAAGAATAGCTGGAACTCATTTCTATTTCAGACAAGTCATAGTCCTGAAGGAATTTACTCTGAAGTAGACTTGTTGACTTCCCCAGGAATACCTCATACTGGTATTAGGACTTGCTTCAACTTACACCAAGAATCACAGTTGAAAACCATTTTGCAATACAGAAGCACTACATTTTCTGCATCAGGCAGTGAAGTAAACAACACTGCAGGCAACAGATGATGGTAAAAACAAAAATGAATAAGTATATTTCTAATATTCTGCTTAATTACTCTGAACACCTTGCTTCCAAATACTAATTTCCTCTGCTTACTTCTCACCCTAGGCTCATACACAAAATCAGCTATTATTCAGAGTGGGAAAGTCAACAGCCTATTCAGGTGAAGAGAAGAACATGTATACAGAGAGAGACAGGCACGCTGACATTTCTATTCACTGAAAACCAGAACAAGAAACTCAACCAACAACCAAAAAGCAATCCATCACACATGGCTCAGACCTAAGCCTCAATGAAATGAGAGTTTTTTCCACCGAGCGAGGGCCTTCCCAATTGTACTACCAGAAGTCATGCTCAAATAAACACAACGAAGGAAGCCTTGCATCACTCTCATTCCACAAGCGCGAGCTGTTGACAAGACTAGTCAAACAGCTTCTAATCAAATCTACTGCCAAAAGGAGAACAACTGCTCCCTCTTTCTTCCTCCAACAATATCGCTTGACAAGAAGAAAGGCTTCAGGAGGAATCCACTTGTCACAGGTGAAGGCAGAACTTCCCTAATTTAAATTAAACAACTGCTTCATACAAAAGTAACCTGAATTGCATTCTCAATCCTCTATTCAACATTTTTCTTTCAAATTAACCACAGTTGGACGACCATCATACTCAGGCTTGTTTTGAGCTAACTTCCTCTGAGATTCCTTTTGGTAGCTCTTCAAGAGACTGTTTCGCTTGTGGCTTTAGAAGGCAGAAGCCTCAACCCTTTGGTGAGTGTACAACCTTGAATAAAGAGCTGTGGCCCTATTGGCTAGAACAGGATTCCTAGGAGACCAAAGAGATGCTAGTGAGAGTCTATACAGAGTCGGCCAAGCAACCTCTCTTGAAGCTATTAGTGGTCAGGGAGCTCAAGCCCTGTCCCGTGCCTAGTTTCTGCCTCTACAGTCAGTCTCCTGGGAGTCTATCCCCACTGAGCAACTTGGGCTTTGGTTACCTAAGCTTCCCCAGAAGGCATGGCTGCCCTTGTTTGCACCGATCAGTCCTAAGCCTTACAGATCTGTGCTCAGAAAGCATGCACTTTGTGGACTCCTCAACAAGCATGGACAGTCCTTGCTATGTAGTGGAAAGTCTGGGCCTCATCACACTAGAAGAAAAAAATCCACTTTAAATCCAGTTTCTGCCTCCTGCAGAATTCTGGGGTTTGTAGTTTAGGGAGGAGCCTTTAACAGCTCCACTAAACTACAAACCCCAGCATTCTGCAAAAGGCAGAAAGTGAATTTTAAGTGGTTTTTTTTCCTCTAGTGTGATGAAGTGGCCAGTCTTGTGTTTTATTGGAATAGCTCACACTGCTCCTCCACAAGCTAAAAGGGGCATGTGCTTTGCAGTGTCACCTTGTTTCACATTAATCAAGAACCTCAGATTAGTTAAATCAGGATACTATTGCACTACCAACCCGCTTCACTTTGGTGAGTCATCAGAAATGTTGGTACTATACAAAGTCTAAAAGATCCTCAAAATGAGTAGTCATTTCCTAGCATTCTTTGAAGACACAAAGCTATTAAGCTGGTTTAGAATGAAATCCCGTTTTGCAGTAACTTAAGATGTGCCCAAGCAGTACTTGGATTTGAAACAAATCGATGTGGCTATAACCAGTGGTGCCAATGTGGGCTCAACTCTTTCCCTCACCTCCCTAGTCCTGCCATCTCAAATAACTTCCAATCTGCTTGCAAAATATAGTGAAGCTGGTGGATATGGTTCGACCCATCTTTACAGTAATCAAATGAAACTGCACCAATTATTACAGTGGCACCCAAAGGGAAGTTGAAACCACTTCTTGTGAACACAGCTGAACAAGAAGTGGCAGTTCATTCCCACCAATAGTTGCAACCTTTCCTCTGCTAAAAGATTTTAGATCCCTCATAAGAAGCCAGAGGTGGAACTCCAGCAGTTCCTATGCTTTCAGAAAAACCACAGAGAGGAAACACAACACCTTCATATCTGCCTAAGTTGTTTCACATTATTAAAAGCAGCCAGTGTAAACAGGCCAACCCAATTACAAAACGTTAACAGTGTTTTAGCCATTAAATCCTTGGAAGGGGGGGGGGCACCAGCTGGAAGGTCCCCATAGAGGTCACAGCCAATAAACTTAAGTAAATAGATTCCAGAAATGCCAATGCAAAGTAAAAAAGGAAGGAGGGAGGACAGAACAGCAAAGGGGGAACTTCCCAGCTAGGCAATTTAATTATGTAGTCGAGAGCTGCTAGGACTCATCCAATTTGCAGCAGGAGAAGTTGGGGGAGGTGAAGAGGGTCTGGGTGGGGAGAACATATGCATAAACAGAGAGTTATGAAGAGCTCCCTGAGTTTTAACCCTCAACAATTAACGTTGCTGGTTCTGCTGAGCACAGAAGGGGTTAAGTGCTAAAGCACTGACACTTAATAATCAGCTTTCCCCCTTCCCTTCACATGTGATTGGAGTGGAGCTGCACCAAAGCAGCCCAAAGGGCTTATAACAGCTCAATTTCGCTGCCTTCAGTTTTAATCCCCATCACCCAGGCTAAGCAGCCCAGTTGTGCAAGAGCCGCCGCTATTCTGCCACAGTCCGGGCACCTGGCTCATTGTTATGGCCGTCGTCCTGTTCTGGTTCAGTTGCTTGCAGGTGGCTGGACAGTTCTTGGATGACAGCAGCCTTCCCTATCTGGTCGTTCCGTCTCTTCTCCATAATAAGATCCTCCAGGCTCTGAAACTCCAGGGTGTGGCTGCGTTTCTCTCCCAGCTGGATCTGCAACCGGTAGGGTTGCTTGCCTATGCGCAGCTCACCACCGATTTTGAACTCGCGCTTGCCGTAACGGCACCAGGCAGCAAAACACTCAGAGTTCCTCCAACTGAGATCCCGGTCCTTGCAGCCCACTTGATCCAGGGCGTTCCGCACCACAGTGGCCGGACTAAGAGATTTGTAATGGTACAGTTGGTTTGCAATACGCCCCCTCCGACCCTGGCTGGCATCTGTTAGAAAGCTGTTCACTATTTCCAACCTATGTAGATGGACCACCTGGAAATCCCCTACATATACCACCCAGTGGGGATACTGGGACTGGCACACAAACTCCACCAAATCGCCAGGTTTGCACTTGTTCAACAGATTTTCTGGGGTGTACGTGGCGAGATGGCTGCCTCGGCCTCCATCTGCCTCATCCTCGACAGAAAAGCTTTTCTGATAAATGCACTCATCGCGGTAATAGATGGAACATTCTACTTCATGCAACTGAGGGTCATATGGTTGCGATGTGGGATGCTCTCCACCGATGTCTGGAACCACTGCATTCTGTTGGGGCTCCACATCATCGTCATCATTGGAGAATATGTAGGAGACGCCAATCCTGGGTCCCTCATCTTTGTCCATGCCCGTCGGGTCAGTTGTGGGAACCTCCTTGTAGTTTAAGTGGGTCAGCTTCTCCACTTGGTTCCCCATGCCTGCTAAAGGAGAGGAAATGCAAAACTTTAATACAGCTGTGAATAAACAAGGTGAAATCATTTCAGAGAACTTCTCAAAACTCATCTTGGTTCTCTCTTCTTTGCAGTTTATCCTCTTTTTCAAGGATGCACTGTCATAGGCCCCTTCTACACCGCCATATAATCTGGATTGTCAAAGCAGATAATCCACATTATCTAATTTGAACTGAATTATACGAGTCTACACTGCTATATAATTCTGCTCAAAGCAGATAACCTGGATTTTATATGGTAGTGTAGTTAAACAAGATTAGAGAACACAGGCCATTTATTTTAGTAAATCAACTGTTAGCTACATTCAAGCCTCTTTTACATATTTTCTGGATGCATTAAAGTCACTGTTGACTGGAGACCCTACCAAGGGCTTGCTTAGGAAGATTTGTTCATAGAATCATTGAGTTGGAAGAGACCTCATGGCTATCCAGTCCAACCCCCTGCCAAGAAGCAGAAAAATAGCATTCAAAGCACCCCCGACAGATAGCTATCCAGCCTCTGTTTAAAAGCCTCCAAAGAAGGAGCCTCCGCCACTCTCTGGAGCAGAGAGTTCCACCGCTGAACAGCTCTCACAGTCAAGAAGTTCTTCCTAATGACTCCTGAAAAATTATTAAAATTCAACAGAGGGATATCCAATTCATGTTGGAAATGCAAGAAAGAAAAAGGAACTTTCATACATACATGGTGGACTTGCAAACGAATAAAAAGATACTGGAAGGAAATCCATAATATGAGCCAAAAAATTTTAAAAACCAAATTCCCCCTAAAACCAGAAATCTACTTATTAGGAATATCAGAAGCAAAATTAACCAAAAACCAAGAAAAAATGTTATTTCTGCTCAGCACCGCAGCCAGACTACAAATTGCAAAACTGTGGAAACGAGAAGAGATACCGAAAGCTGACGACTGGATAATTAAAGTTTTTGATTTAATACAAATGGATAGTTTATCATAGAAACTAAATAACACTCGAGAAAAAACAGACTGGTCAGGCTTCAGAGATTTTATCAACTCGAGGAAGATTCCATTCATGATAGATTTGTCCAACTTCTGAAATCATAAACTAAAGTGAATTCGAGAGAACTTTGGCGAACAGTTGTAATTGACATTGAAAAAATTTTTTAATCCTCAGACGACTTTGGGAAGTTTCAACCATCTTAGGACTCTGTTGGGGAGGTGGTGGGTATCACCCGTGATGTCAAAACTTGGTCTAGGTTTAAGTTTATGTGTCATCTGATGGTGACTAGATTTTATGTCCACTCCCCCCCCTTCCCTCTCCAACACCCCCTTTCCCAACCCATTTTCCACATCCCCCCTACACCTGTTGTCTGTGTGTATACATGTAAAATGCACAATAAAAATTTAATTAAAAAAAAGAAGTTCTTCCTAATGTTCAGGTGGAGTAATAATAATAATAATAATAATAATAATAATAATAATAATAAACCTTTATTTATACCCTGCTAACATCTCCCGCAGGACTCGGTGCGGCTTACAAGAGGCTGAGTCCAAAATACATCAGAACAAAAACACAACCACAACAATACAATACAACAATAAAAAACTCATAGCAAAGCAAAAAACAATAACAAAATATCACGACGCAATTTAAAAACCTGGCGGGGCCAAATGTAAAGGTTAAAAAAAATTAATGCTGGGCATGACAAGGTGAAACAGGATGGATATTTTGGGGGGTAAGTGGGTGTGCAGACAATTCTAACTCTCTCGTAAAGTGCATTTGGGACATATTGCTTGGGATTCCATAATCTGGGAAGTTACACTGGAACATCCATGTTTTCAAGCTCCTTCTYAAGACTGCCAATGTGGGGGCATGCCTGATGTCCTTGAGAGGGAGTTCCAAATTCGTGGGGCCACCACCGAGAAGGCCCTGTCCCTCATTCCCACCAATCGTGCTTGCGATGCAGGTGGGATCATGAGCAGGGCCTCTCCAGATGAACYAAGAGATCGTGTGGGTTCGTATACGGAAATGCGGTCACGCAGGTAGGTGGGTCCCAAACTGTTTAGGGCTTTGTAGGTAAGCACCTACACCTTGAATTGGGCCCAGAAAAATGAACGGCAGCCAATGGAGTTCCTTAAACAGGAGAGTTGACCTCTCCCTGTAAGGAATCTCCTTTCCTGCAATTTGAAACCATTGTTCCGCATCCTAGGGCCCTTTCACACAGTTCTATATCCCAGAATATCAAGGCAGAAAATCCCACATTATCTGAGCGTGGATTCAGATAACCCAGTTCAAATCAGATATTGTGGGATTTTATGCCTTGATATTCTGAGATATAGAGTTATGTGGAAGGGCCCTAAATCTCCAGGGCAGCAGAAAACAAGCTCCCTCCCTCCTCCCAATGACTTCCCCTCACATATTTATACATGGCCATCATGTCTCCTCTCAGCCTTCTCTTCTGCAGGCTAGACATGCTCAGCTAGTTAAGCTGCTCATCATTGTCTTTGCATTGTCTTCCTCTGTGGATGAGTGTGTGTGTGTTTATCTATTTATTTATATATTTACAGTATTTATATTCCGCCCTTCTCACCCTGAAGGGGACTCAGGGCAGAGCACAACATAAATATGACAAACATTCAATGCCGGAATAAAACAAACTATAAATATACACAGGCATTAAAATCAAGTATATCTACATTAAAATCAAATTGTTCAAAACCATCTCAAACCAGCCATACTGGATCATTACTTTATTGCACTGGGCCAAAAGGCTTGGTTCCATAGCCAGGTTTTTACCATCTTTCTGAAGAACAGGAGGGAGGGGTTGATCTAATCTCGGCAGACTGAGGGGCAATCACCGAGAAGGCCCTGTCTCTCACCCCCACCAATTGCACCTGTGACAGTGGCAGGACCAAGAGCAGGGCCTCCCCAGAAGATCTTAGTCTCTGTGGTGGTTCCTAGAGGGAGATGCATTTGGGCAGGTAAACTGCGCCAGGACCATTTAGGGCTTTATAGATTAAAGCCAGCACTTTGAATTGTGCTTGTTCACAAACTGGCAGCCAGTAGAGCTGGCACAACATGGGAGTTGTGTGCTCTCTGTGTGCAGGCCCAGTTATTAACCTGGCTGCCTCTCATTGGACCATTTGAGGCTTCCAAATGGTCTTCAAAGGCAAGTATGAGTTGCCTAAGGTTACCCAGTGGGTTTCTATGGATGAACAGAGATTCGAACCCTCATCTCCTAGTGTTCTAGTCTAAGACTCAAACCATGGCACCTCACTGACATTCTTACTTAGGTCTATTGCCATCATTGGAGGCTGCAGTTCTAGGTGCATAATCTTTAGGAATGAAATCCATCATCTGCTCCTCACAACCATTCAGTTGATCCCAAATGCTTTGGGGGAATAGACACTATAAATGAGGACAGGACTGGCATAGAAAGGGTTAAATTGCCTCTTCCTCCAAACTGGGCCCTCACTGCTGCTTTCAACTAAAACATGCACACATAAAATACAGTTATGTTTCCTTTACCAGGATGAGGAAATCAACTCCCTAGGATTCCGAGTTATCACAGTCTAGGTTTGTTATCTCTGTCGTTAGAGTTCACACACAGTTCAGCAGAGAAAGACCGGCTGAAAGCCCATAATACTTTCATGGGAGTAATTCACATTGAATTCAAAAGAAGCTAAGTCTAAGTAAGCATGCATATCATTGCATTCACAGTCATCTGTAATCCACCCCATTCGTCAACTTTACTTAGCCGTTGTCTTCTTCACACAATTCAAAGTGCCTCTCAGGTAACCTCTATTTGAATTTTTAAAAACATTCTCCCAAGATGCATCATCCCCATCATCCCCATTTTGCAGAGTGGAACTGACAAGAGGTGGTGGATAAAAGCCACCAGAATGAATTCCCTGGCAAAGGTTAACTGCTGAGCCAAGGCATTCTTGGTTCATAATTGTGCATCTCTATCTTAACTGCGCCATCAGAAAACATCTGAATAGGGGGGTGCCTCAAAAAAACAAAAACAAAAAACCCTTATCTACTATTAACTCAATACAGTCTTAGGGCCAACTTGTTGTCCTCATGGACAACAAGTTAAACATGAGCCAACAATGTGATGTGGCAGCAAAAAAAGCCAATGGGATTTTGGCCTGCATCAATAGGAGCATAGTGTCTAGATCAGTGGTTCTCAACCTGGGGTCCCCAGATGTTTTTGGCCTACAACTCCCAGAAATCCCAGCCAGTTTACCAGCTGTTAGGATTTCTGGGAGTTGTAGGCCAAAAACATCTGGGGACCCCAGGTTGAGAACCACTGGTCTAGATCTAGGGAAGTCATGCTACCCCTCTATTCTGCTTTGGTTAGACCACCTGGAATATTGTGTCCAATTCTGGGCACCACAATTCAAGAGAGATATTGACAAGCTGGAATGTGTCCAGAGGAGGGCGACTAAAATGATCAAGGGTCTGGAGAACAAGCCCTATGAGGAGCGGCTTAAGGAGCTGGGCATGTTTAGCCTGAAGAAGAGAAGGCTGAGAGGAGATATGATAGCCATGTATAAATATGTGAGAGGAAGCCACAGGGAGGAGGGAGCAAGCTTGTTTTCTGCTTCCTTGGAGACTAGGACATGAAATAATGGCTTCAAACTACAAGAGAGGAGATTCCATCTGAACATGAGGAAGAACTTCCTGACTGTGAGAGCCGTTCAGCAGTGGAACTCTCTGCCCCAGAGTGTGGTGGAGGCTCCTTCTTTGGAAGCTTTTAAACAGAGGCTGGATGGCAATCTGTCAGGGGTGATTTGAATGCAATATTCCTGCTTCTTGGCAGGGGTTGGACTGGATGGCCCATGAGGTCTCTTCCAACTCTTTGATTCTATGATTCTAGGGCCCTTCCAGACAGGGCCTATATCCTAGGATCTGATGCCAGGTTTTCTGTTTCTCCCAGATTATCTGGCAGTGGGGATTTATATAATCCAGGTTAAAGCGGTAAACCTGGAATCAGATCCTGGGATAT